GCTGCACAAACTAAAACGGAATAATGAAATAGTATTTTAATCATTACTGAAACTCCATACTTAGCTTGAATTTTATTTAATTCTGTTTCTAATAATAACTGTGCAAGAACATTTTGCTAGGGGCAACTTTTGCCACCGAACSATGATTGAGAACTCGTGGTAGCACACTGCTAGAGCGCTCGCACTAAAYCCGTGAAACAAATACTAATTTTTATTGCTAAATAGTGTTAAAACACTCATTAATAATTCATAAGTTTATGGTCCAATTGGAGCCACCATACACGTCACGTGCATGAACCTTTATAGCCGATAAAGTCCTCTTCATTAGTATTCAAGTGATTTTATATAAAGACACATGTGTCTTTATATAAAGACACATGTGATCTTTATATAAAGACCACTCAAATACTATGAGGATGACTTCATCAGGGATGAAGTATGCATCCAAGTTTAGATGAAGACATAGAGCTTCATCAAGGTCATAGTCAACCCTAAAGATCTTTGACTAACKTGCCTGTCTTTGCCTTGGCACGCAATATACAACGTGTGGGAGCTTCTATTGAATCTGGTTGCGCATGCCCGTGACGTCAACTCTCTATCGAAGTATAAAAATCCATGTTCGTGACGTGTATGATTATGATTATGATTATGATTTATGATTTATATAGCGACCTTTAATATGGGGATATAATCAAAGGCGCTTTACATGGAGTGAATGACAGATTGCTATATACAATTTACAAGCATGAGAGATGGTTAGTATGAAGTGTAGGCACTGAGGGTGGTCACTGCCAGGGTTTCTTTTTACGTCCTCAGTGGTTCTTTTATGTCCCCCATTTTTACTGTAGGTTAGGAAGGGTTAGGAGACAGGGCCTACGGTTTMAAGTCCTTGTCCGAGAAGACTTGAAGGTCTAACCATTTGCAGATATTATTACGAAGGCAGCACCTTCTCCTCAGTTATTTTAAGACCCTGAGTGTTGGTCCGGCCGAGGCTTGAACCACGACCTCCCGCACAACAGACCGACGCTCTTACCAACTGAGCTAACCGGGTGGCGGTTAACACGGTGTAGGGTGGCTCCAGTTGAACCAAAATCTTATAAATTGTTCATGAGTGTTTTAAACACTACATAATCAAACAATAGGAAACAAAGGATTCTGTATGAGTTACTACTAATTTGTACTAAATATTATTCACGGGTTTAGTGCGTGCACTCTATCATATCACTCTCCTTTCATTACATATAAATTCATAGAGGCGTACTCAGGAAAAGGACAGAAGACTGACTAACATCAAAAGAATGGAAAATATCCGAAACATAATCGATCAAATTATCTATAAAAAAGAGTATGTTGACCAAGATGCAAAAAATAAATTTATTGCAAAATATAAGAATGATAAAAAAATTTCCAAACTTGTAAAAAGAGTGGAACAGCGTACAGAGGAAGCAATCAGGAATATGCCAACGCATATCACCTTGTGGGCTTTAGAAGCAGCTAAGTTATATAAAAGAAAAAACAACAATCATTACTAAGTTTTTTAAACAAGTGATGAGTACATAAACCATGCATCTTTTAGATTGTACCGTACATGTATTAGGATGCAATATTAATAATAAAGGCTATGCACATTTGATTATAAGTTTAGTAGAGAGTATGTAGTCTATTACATCTAGCTTAAAAATCTGAACTATCATGAAAATCAAAGAAAACACGACTTTTTTCCTTAAGGTTAAGTATCTGAGTACTAGCTAGGGCATCTTCATGTGCGACAAAGCGCTTTTTAGTTCTGATGTTTTTCTAGCTTACACGACGAGAGAGATTCTGGTATATTCTGCTATACCTGGATCGCATATTGTACAACAGGTCTAACAATAGAAAAATATACCTTAACAATAGAGCTTGCTGATAGACCTGCTTTCTTTTTCACTCAAAGTTTGTGCTGTGCTGTGCTGTGCTGTGCTGTGCTGTGCTGTGCTGTGTTGTGTTGTGTTGTGTTTGTTGGTTTGTTTGTTTGTTTGTTTTTTTCCCTTTTGCTTTCTTAAGAACATGCTTAATATGATGGATCCACTTAAGATCACTACTACAACAAGTGGCTTATACAGCGTTTTCACATTATGTCACAGCCGCCATAATAGTATACCTTTGACAATAACTTAACAATAATAAGACACCGATAGGGACTAGGAAGTCAAAACGCTCTATAAGTACGAACGCTTTCTTAAGGTTGTTGCCACCTAGTAAAGGTCTAATAAGAAAATTAAAATTATGATTGCTACTATGATTTTCCTTAATGTCCGGTTGCACAGAAGGATTTCGTCATGATGGATAAGAGTTTTACATTATACTAAATACCCTGTGCTATTCCTCCCTTGGGTGTTTGTCATCTTAAATGGTCATCAGGCACACGAAGGCACACGAAGGTTTATGTTCATGTTAGACGCCATGATGTATTTAATATTGTAACGCAAATTAGCAATGTGGTCTTCCAGGAGTCAAACATTGGAAAAAATTGACCATTTTTAAAAGATCAAACTCAAGTATTTCACTGATTTATCCGGAAATTATCAACTCATTTTCCCAAGGCGAAGTGAATATCGGGGACCTAGTAAAAAACACTTTTGTGACCTATGCTTTCTCTTTAAAGAATATTTACCGACATGCGAGTYTTCGAGCGGCGAGGTAAATATTCCCCAAYATTCAATAATYCTGAGGCGAATAACTGTTTCAATATTCTTAACACAAGTGAGCGGTTTGAAAAAATAACGAAGGGAGAGTCTTTCTTTTCAAATTCTATATATCCCTCCATGCGTTACAATTCGAAAAACGAGCGTGCGCGTGCGTAAATTGTGACCAATGAACGCGCCGGATTTGATGTATTCAATTGTGTAAAAAAAAAATAATAAAACCTGTTGTTGCATTGTTTCCGCATATTAACTTTCTTAAGACTGCGGGTGATATTTAACCAAATACTATCCACTGAGACATATATAGCAACTAAGGTCTTGGGAAGCTTTTATTTGGCTAAAATTACTTTCAGGCGACAGTTGGAAAAGAGGGGAAAAAGGTCGAGTTTGGTAGGTTGTGTCAAGTACAGAACATTATACAATATTTTAATCAAACTGCTGTACAAAATTGTCGTTACTGTATAATATTCAATACTATCAGGTAGCATAGGAAAATATTTATATCTATAGCCGACGATATTTGCTAATTTCAAAAAATATCATGGTAGATTTTTATGTGCAAATCAAACGCCAAAGCTTTTGTGTTAAATCTAAATCTTAAATACGAGCTCATGGCTTGTGAAGTTACCACTAATCACCTTATATTACTTCTYTTGGATGAAAAACAAATAAGCTAGRTTTTTTKAACAAAGCTGTAGCKAATTCTCRACGCGCCAAAATCACAMTTTTAGTAAGAATGCAGTGGTTAATAATTACAGCATATTATTAGAATAATATACGTTAAAAGAAAAAAAATCCTTTGTTCTTTTAAATATTGGTCATTGCTGATTCAAGTAAGTAAGGTTAAAGGTTTTTCTTCTTTTCTTTAAACAATGGAATTTAATAAAAATGGAATAATCTTGTTTTAAATTTTTGTTGAAAATTGCTAAATAATTGTCTGAAGAGAGCTTTCAAAGCACCCAGGAAGGAGGTTTTGCTTCAGGTTTTTTATTGTTCTAATAAGGTTCTCTATTGTTCTCGTTGCACCAGGTTCTATTTGTTGTTTTGGCGAGTGCGACAGGTCGGACAATTTAAAAATTTATCCAATCCCGTTTGCTTGGCCTTTAGAAATGTTGATGATTTGTAAATAACTTTTGTAACCAAAACGTTTTATATTAATGCCTAAATAGTATAGCTAATGCGTATAGAGACCTACTTCAGGATTATCTCTCATTTTACAACGTGTAGATATGGATAATTACGACATTCAAGAAAGCTGCAAATATTACAATTTAAATCAAATGAGCATCGGCGTGTTATATTTCTTGGTAATAGTTATCTTGATAGTATGGAAGTCCTGTGAATTCTCAGATTTTTGCTGCACGATTGACAATGACATAAACATGTGAACTGAATACAGCTATTTCTATCAAGGTTTATGACGATTTGCATGCATGTTGCTTGCCACTTACCAACCTTCAAATGTATTATTCTCAAATGTAAATAATATAAGATCGCTAGAACATATGCCGAAATAACGTGCGGTTAAAGTTTACGTAAATTCCATATTGTTGGGACCTTTCGCTGGTCGCATTCACATCACCCATCGTGCATTTCGGGCTTAGTTGCAACATGCAACAAAACCTTTTTTAAAATAGCTGAATATTTAACGAATCAGTGACATGAATCAGTTTTTCTATTGTATTATCCGTCTTCTTATTTATGCTATCTTAATGCTATAATGACGAAACATTAAGAGGACAGACGTAGAAAAGTTATGTATTTCTTTTTTATGCAATAGCAAAAACGCTCCTCGTTGATCAAAACAAACAACGGAATGAGCGCGCACTCGTGGACGACCGCTTATCTGTCTTTCCTCTTAACTTTTGCAATTGCAATTGATGATATAAAATAGCCAATCAGCGCGCGAGAGATGCGTAAGTTATTGAAAAAAATGTTATATAATGGATTAGAGTTTTGCTGCTTCTACAAGGATGCTCTGTTAATTTTACCTGGCTGAATTCAATATATAATGGAATCTGTAAGCTAATCAAGACTCTTTTGATTCTGCAGAATATAAACATGAACACTCAGGCACTTGTATCKATAYTTTTGGTGTTTTTTGTGCTCATTGAGGAAGGTCGGGTTCATGGTGGAGAGGACCGCGTTTATGRCAGAGAACAACCTGCTCACGACGTTGAAGCTAAAGCACATAGAAGAATGGTCTACAAAAAGGGCGATCATTTATTTAACAACATCGCAAAAGCCTTCACAAAAATGATCCGAGACATATTCACCGAAACGAAGATTCATAGGTTCTGCACAACCCGTGCAGGAGATCAGTTCATTGTTGAAGATACTACTGATAAAAACAAAGATGTAACTAATCTATTCCCAGTTATGGCGGACTCCTTCCGGGAATACACGACGGACAAACTACTTACAACGGATCGTGACAGTCTGTCTGTTTATGGACAAGAACACAATGGACCCGATGAAAATGCTATTCAATGGAGTGCAAACATCGAGGACGTCAGAAGAAATGTCTTCGCGCTAATTGGTAAGTAAGATATAACCTCATTATTCTTTGGAATTCGGCCTAAGACTATCGTGCTTATGTTTAATTACGCACAGTAAATTTGAGAGGACCAGTTTGGCCCCAGAAAGCCATTTTTGCTTTTTCAAAGTAGTGCTATTTTAGCCCAGGCTAGGGCCAAAATAGAACAATGCCATTTAGGCCCCACAGAAGCCATTTTGGTATGGGTGTATCAGTACTGTTTTGGCCCCCTCAAACTATAGGCCAAATCAGGGGGAAAATCCATATGAGGGGCTAAAACAGTCCCAAAACCAGAGCTAAAAAAATGGCCCCTACCGGTAGTGCCAAAATACTTTAAGGAGGTCACTATAGGGTCAACATTTTGGCCCCATTTTTGGAGCCAAAACCGCCCTATCCGATTTACTGTGCGGTATTTACTCGTTTAAGCAATTAAAGGCATTAATGGCATTAACAACCAACTAGGCTAGGCTTATTGAGATAAATTTGAAAACTGGAAACGGAGATCGCTAATTTAGCTGGTGTGGCTAACTGATTACAAATACGAGAAATGGTATGTGAAAAGGGATTATGTAAATGCTGACTATTATAAGAATTCTGTACTACGTTATGGCTGCTGCTACCTCTTAGATCATGAGGCGTTGCGCGAGCTTTCGAAAAGTTCTTCTGTGCTGAACATGATTTACATATGAAATATCCAGGTGATCTCGCGCACGCCTTTTAGGTTACTATTAACCAATCAGAAGCATTTTTGTTGCATCGTCAAAAGTTCCATGATGAATTTCAAAATGAAGTCGTATTTCGAATTAACTTTTTTAAAATACGTCCTGGAATATAACTTTACGTTAAAAAATGTTATGTTACATGTACCAGAAGAGCTTCCTCTTGCTCTATCAGCAATTAAAATTAATAAAAACAAACTATAAATGCAATAAAAGTGAAATCGGTGTTGTCTTAATTATTCACCAGCCGCCATTTTGATTATTAGTATTAGGAACTGTTCCATCTGACAAATGATCCTTTGTGCAATTGGAGGCGAGATCACCTGGATCATGTATTTCGAGCTTAGCAAGCAGCAAGCAACATACAACAAAACCTTTATACCAACGCTTATGGATTGTTGATTGTATGCTGCTATGTCTTTCTTAATTACTCTGTTTCATTTTTAACAGACAAATTCGTTCAGGTTGGAATAGAAGGTCAGCCACGGCCAASAGAATCACTGGCACTCCAAAATAACCTTCTAGAAAGAATTGATAAAATCGTCAATAGACAGGAATATGTCGACAAAGATGCGATGAAAATTTTTATAAAGAAACAACAGAACATGCCGTTGGTCCGTCAAGTAGAACAGCGTTCTGAGGATGTACTGAGAGATCTACCAGACAAGGCCAACCTATGGGCTTTGGAAGCGAAAAAATTTATTATAAAGAAGTTCAGTGGTAAGAAGTAGCTTCCAAGAGCTGAGCAAAATAATCCAAAGCAGATACATGTCATCTCTTGTCTAGACATTAATGTTTATAACTGATTAAAATATCCCCATGCTATGCACTGTTAAATCAATTTGTAAATTGCTATTAGATATCCAGAATATTTTCAAGTCTTTCAATTTGCAGCTGCATACGTTGCTTGATATAGTGAGAGGGTCAGCTTAACTTGATACATTACAAACGCAGTACAAATATATAGTTCATATATATTCTCATACACATATATCTCCTATCGGGCAGATGACTTGAAGTCTCATATGAGACTTTGTAGCTCAGTGGCAACTCCAATCCATCAACTCCATTTTATAGATATTCAGAAAGTTAAAATGGTAGGGCGCTACCTTTCGTATAAGTTCTCTTAAATTGTAAAGTAGTCCGCCATTTTGAGAATACAAAACAATCTAAAACCGACCTTCGAAAATCAAGCGACGCGACAGGTTGGCAATATAGATTCAAAATCACCTAGAGACTAGCACTCAGAATTAATTCTGCTTCAATTCGTGGTCTCCTAGGCTTCTCTCTTGTTCTCTAATGATCCGACCGCGTGTTGAGATCAAAATATCTAAAACGGAATACGGGAAACAGTTTTCTATTTCTCAAGGATATCAGGGTACGCCAATATTGCTCTAAACAAACTTAGGTTTTTAGGGTTTTCCATATTCTCGAAACTTTTATCGTTAATTACGCTCTTCAAATTCTTCGTAATATCGCTTGTCATCACGTTCTATCAGCCAATCTATCTTATGGGAAGCACAGGTGTATGTCGTATGTGAGTACAGTTGTTTGTTGGCTCTCTCCTGTGCTTCGAGGGTTTTCCTGATTCTCCAGCTTTCCTCCCTCCGCAAAAATCAACTCCTAAATTCCAATTGGAATTACAGTGGATGACTATAGCTACTCTGTAGAAATGCCATTGCTAAATCCCATTTATTTATTATTATTATTATTTATTGTTTATATTATTAAGTTTCGTTTGCTCTGGAACGCTTTGGGGCTTTCGTTGTACTTACAATGATATATGTATATATAATTAAAAATCAATATTTAAACTCTGTATCGTAATCCTGTATTTGACGAGAAAAGAATAAATTAGGTATGAAGGAATTCGTAAAATT